CTCCCTACATTTATTATTATTAAAGTTTGTTGAAGAGTTTTTTAATATGTTTAATTTGGGTCTCTCTACAATTACCTTTTTATGTAAAAACTCATTTAAATTGCACTTTTGCTTTTTTGCCTTTATTTTCTAATGTTCAGTGGTTTAGATTAAGGAATTATAAACTGTATTTAAGGTAATTTTTCTTCAGTTCATATTCAGAATACTAAAATGAAAACAGGAAGCAAAAACCTAAAAGAATATTTTTTAGAATACACTGGTATTTTGTCATTTCTTACTTTTTTGAAAACATATACAGATGCTAAATTCCTACTTTAAAATGTTCAAAATGTACTTTTATTCTGCTTTATTCCAAAAGGCTAATTAACATCAAGAATTCTTCAAGTCATATATGAAAAAAGATAGCACTTATTATTCTTAATAACGACTTTAATATGTCAGGACAAACTTTTCTCAGTGATTACTTTGTTCAGTAACATAAAAATGGGTCCTGCCCAGTAGGCTTGCCCTAACCAGGTCCCAGTCCCTGGAGGTGCACCCTAGCGGTGAAGCCTTCGGTAGGTTAACCTGGAGGGGCGGGCCCAGCAGAGGCTGCCCAGGTCTCTGTCTCTCTAGTACACTGCAGAGGGCGGGAACACCTAGCAGGCGCAATTCAAACAAACTGTAACAGACAAAGAGAAAAAAATTGGGCCTCCTATATTCGCTTGTATGGAAGGAGCAAAAAATATGGGAAGAGGAAGCAAAAAGAAAGGGTCCTCGGGGCTGGGGATTTAGCTCAGTGGCATAAGCGCCTGCCTTGCAAGTGTGTGGTCATGAGTTCGATCCCTGCTACCGGTAAAAATACAAAAAAAAAAAAAAGGGTCCTCAGTCCCCAATCCTGAGAACACCAATCCAGGAATGGGAAAGGCAAAGGAAAACAGAAAACATGCAATATCAGACACGGCACCAATAGACATAAAGCGATACATCCAGAGCCTCATAGACAAGTTTAAAAATGAAGTATTAAACGAAATAAAGCAAGACATAAGTAGAATAATTAGAGAAATGCTAAGCACCACCCAAGAAAAAACAGATGATAGAATGGAAGAACAGAAAAAAAGGGGAGAATTGTTTGATGGAGAAAATAGAGAAAACATAGAATACATGAAGCAGGTTCAAAGAGATTACCAGAAAACTAAAAACTCTATCAAAAGCTGGCATAACAGCTTGAAAGAAATTAAGGATAGATTATCTGAATTGCAGGGCAGATTTGTAATATGGGAGCATGAAATGAAAAACTTCTTAAAAATAACAAGAAAACAAACACCAATAATACAAAGGCTAGAAGATGATAGGATCTATAACTTAAGAATTAAGAACGTAAAAGAAGAAGTAGGGACACAAACAAATGGACTACAAAAGCTATTCACAGAAATAATCCAAGAGAATTTCCCTAATTTAGCAAAAGATAAAGATACTCAGATGTACGAGGCATACAGGACCCCAGCCACCTACAACCCAAACAGAGCTACACCCAGGCATATAATAATCAAAATTCCAGAAATCCAGTATAAGAACAGAATATTGAAAGCTGTCAGAGACAAGAAACAGATCACTTACAAGGGAACACCCATCAGAATTACAGCAGACTTCTCAGCACAAACCATCAAATCACGAAGAGTGGGGGGGGGGATAATTCAAGCTTTGAAAGATAATAACCTCCAGCCAAGATTGATATATCCTGCACAACTGTCCCTAGAAATTGATGGAAAAACAAGGTGCTTCCAGAATAAAGAGGAATTAGGGGAATTTGCAATACTGCAGGATATTCTAAAAAAGGAAAATACCAAGACTTAAGAAACAATGGCAGAGAGGCCACAATGAATGGAGCAGAAAGCAAAATGAAGAAGACAAACTGACAACAAATGACAGCAAATGACTGAACAGAAATGAGGCAGAGAAGATTGGATGGTAGGAACAGCTATTTTGGAGAAAACAAGACATCATAATAGCTAGTGCTGATTTAGTATCATCTTGCTTTGAAGTCCCATCAAGCTTTATTCTTCTGTCTCCATCCATCTTAACAGGTTGTATTTTATTATATGTGATAATATAAGCAAAAACTTTTATAGACAAGGAGATTATACAGAAACCATTGTTCATTTTCTGATAGTTGGTTCTAAATACCCTATAATACTGTCATTCTCTTGAATGGTTTTACATTGTGTTGATATGTTTGGTGCTACAGTATACAGAGTTATACTCAAAGATTTCAAGGAAAGAGACACTATGGTAACTATTTTTATGTCAGGATATCTTGTGGTGAAACACTATTTTGCTTAAATGGTTATGCTTTGACCCGTGCTGTTTTGTTATTATGCTCTCTTTTATCTCAGTCTCCTTTTTTAAAATTATTTACTTTTTTTATTATCTTTTTAATTAAGGGAAAATAAAAAAATAGCAGGATACATTATAGTAACCCACTTTGATTTCTCTTTTTTTTTTGTCTTTTTTCCTTTTTATAGGTACCGGGGATCGAATTCACAACTGCCTGCTTGCAAGGCAGGCGCATATGCCGCTGAGCTAAATCCCCAGCCCCCCCCCCCCACTTTGGTTTCCTATTAACTTGATTTGAAACCCTGTATAGCCCTCACCATCTAGCTTTGACTGATTTTCCTCTATTCTGCTTTGATTGATAGTACCAAGTTCGAAAGTATAGGCAATAACTGTAAAGACAATAAGATTCATTATGATGCCCATTCCAGTTGACTATTATCTTCTTTTAAAGTCCTGTAATGTCTCCAACGTTTTGGTGTTATTCTTTACTGTTTTGTTCAATTTTATTATAACTGATGATATAGGCGATTTTTTTTTAAGATAGCAAGAGGCAGTATGATAACCATTGTTGATCACCTAGTATTTTGTTTTTACATTATCTATTATGTCCATCCTTTTGATTTGACTGACTCTGTTCTGTTATGTCACATTTGGTTTTACCCTCTTCAAAAAAAGTAGTAAGAACTATGGGAGTAATAAAACCCAAAATGTGTAATTGTCATTGTACAAAAGGAAGAAACAGAAAGTGCTCTAAAGAATACAACTGCATATATATTTAAGTGTATAAGATAAATAACCATATTACTGAGTTTTGTTGGATCATTGAACAAAACTGTTTCCACTCTCAATGTTTGAAAGTCCACTTTATATGCTTTAATTTTGTAACTTGAACAACTATTTCTAAGATAACAATATGTAATCTATTAACTAGTGATTTCCTATTGTTTATTTTTTCTGAAATTCTGTATAACTTGTACCCTGTTTTTCTTTTTTTCCTTAAAAAAAAAAAAAAGGGTCCTGGCCTATGGTTAAGTAGTACAGCATCTGCCTGTCAAGTGCAAGGTACTGAGTTTGATTCCTGGCACAAAACAAAACAAAACAATATAAAAATGAAGTATCACTATCAAGAGTCAGCACTGAAACAAAGCAAACAGTTACATACACATCTTGTCAGCTGACAGAATCAACCAAGTCCATAAAAAACAATTCCTACTTTTTAGGGACACAAATACTGGTAAACAAAAAAAGAAAATAAAAAGTATGATTCATCTATATAGTTTTGTCTGTTCATTAGTATACTATTGATCAGTGATTTGAAACAGTTCTAAAACTGGTAAATAAAATGTTTTCAACTACCCACCAGTAAGAAAAATTGGTGGGATTTTTTGTTTGTTCAGTTTTATTTGCTCATTTTTTAATCTGCAGGAGGGATAGGTTTTCAGTGCTTAGCACATCCTGGGAGCTAAAAAATGACTGCTAAAAGAAGAACTAAACTAAGTAACTGTATGGAGTGTATGAACATAAATAATTTCTTATGAAAATGCATTTGCAAAAGAATTTGAAGAAGAAAATATTTATATGTATATTTTTCTGTTTTTATTTTTCGAAATGAGATACATTCCAAAATATTAACTGAGCTGAACTTGCAAAAGAAGTATCTTGCAAATGGGGTATGAACTTAAAAATTCTCTCTTTTTAGTCACAGTGCAAGTAATATGGCTGGCAGGGCAGGAAATCAGAGTATTCAGACTGTATTTTAAGGATTACTACTGATAATTTCAGGTGCTAGCCGTGGTCTTTTTTTTTAACAAGCTAAGTAAAACGTCTGAATTTTCAAAGTTAAACAATTTTGTCAAATTCTAAGTCAGTATAAATCTTATATTGTATAAAGTCTTATAAATATCTTAAGCAGTTTTGTTACAGAATTTATTAGTACATTTGCAGTAAATGTTTATATCCTTGTATAGACTTGGTACATGCACATAACACTCGTTAATTCCTTCTCTCATCCCCATTCCCTCTTCTCTTCACCTCTGATTCCCTTCCCATTTGAGAAAGATCTGTCTCTCTACATCCTATTATCTATCTTTATTTTGCTCTTTATATTTTTGGGTTTCTCAAGAGAAACTATGCAATTTATTTATGCTTCGTGTATCTCATTTATTTCACTTAACATTTGGCCTCAAGTGCATCTACAATTGACTCAAGTTTATCTCTCTATGCCAGAGTAGTACTCCATTGTGTGTGAATACCATATGTTCTTTATCCATTCATGTGTTGAGGAGCACATAGGCTGCTTCCAAGATTTAGCTGCTATGAACTGTGCTGCTATAAACATGGGTATGTATGTATCACTATAATATGATGTCTCTTCAAATGTACTTTCTAGTTTTAGATTTTTGGGAAGTCTCTATAATGATAACCATAGTGATTGTACTAGTTTACATTCCCAACAATGTAGAAGGGTTCTTTTTTTCCATGAAGTCTCTTCAACATTTATTGTTTTATTTCTTGATGACAGCCATTCTTCAGCATTAAGATGGCATCTCAATGCTATTTTTATTTGCATTTCTCTAATTAGACAGGTCTTTTGACCAAAGAACTTTTATTAATAAACTTAAAGCAAATCTTAGGAGAAAATTATCGAACAGCAGTATGTCTCCAAGATAAGAAACACTACTTACCTCAACTTGAAAAAGCTCTCCAGCCCCCTCACAGTCATTGGATGTAATCACTGGGGTATGAATGTGCACAAAACCTCTGTCCTGGAGGGAAAAGGAAAACCAGTCTTTTCAATATATTTGGACATGAAACAATTTTAATGGCACAAGAGATGTCAAATCCTTCCTAGGCTTTAAAATGTAAGACTGCTGAAAGAGCAGTCGAATGTTTTACTATACACAGAAGCACAGAGAATTTTAAACTGGAACAGACTTGGATATAAATGTATACCATCCCTTCATTTTGAAGATAAGGAAACTGAGTGTCAGAGATATTTAGTGAATTGCCAAAAGCAAACGACTAGGTAGAGCTGGGCATGGTGGTACATGCCTGTAAGCCAGCACTCTGAAATCTGAGGCACACAGATCCCAAGTTCAAGCCAAGCCTTTAGCAGCTCAGTGAGACCTTGTATCAACATAGAAAAATAAAATAAGGACTAGGGATTAGCTTAGCATGAAGGCCTGGGCTCAACTCCTAGTACTACAAACAAACAAACAAAAAATCCATTAATGAGTAGTCAAACCCAGGTTGGAACCTAGGCCTCAGCCTTTCTCTCTAATGCTATTTACTCTTCTCATATCTGTAGGATACTGGTGATGACTTAACAAACACACTCACTCACGGCTAATGCATAGTGATGTTGCCCAGATTGCTAAGGGAATACAAAGTGATTAATATGAAGTGACGCTGTTATAACAAACCAACAAAAAGGAGAAAAAGTAAGACTAATAAATATGGACTGAAGAAAAACAGCAAAAGAGGCAGGAATGAATTTTAGGAAGTTTTTCATTCAATCGATGATACAACACATTGCATGAGGTACAGGCAGTGTACTTCCTTTGCTGGAGGAATATTCTGAGCAGCATCAACATCCATCACTTAGGCGCCTAGTTGCAGCCCTTCCTATCTAAAGACGGAGACTACTTCCATTAGTGAACCACAAAAGCTGCTGTTAGGATTAAAATAACCCATCTACTTCAAGGTTACACTTCTTTCATTTTGACTACGGATCTAAGCAAAAGGTTACATTAGGCAAAGATGTAGCAGGGTGAAGATAAAGGCAGCTGAAAGTGAATTTACATACTAAGGCAGAATAGTATGTTTAATGCAAAATTTTAGCCTTGAAATCAATACAACAAATTCATACATTTATATCTCTGCTAAATTCTGTTTACCACAGGTAGAAAGCAAATCTTTCCAGGCATTATCAAGGCATTATCAAGAACCTTGCAAATATGACTCTAAATTCAAGAATTTTGGCTACAATCTATTTAGTCAACAACTTGCCTTATGATATAGACAGGTTAGATATTCAAGCTATAAATTGAGCCTCAGAGCTACGGGCCTAGAGGTGCTGTGCAGAGTCCATTATAGGGAACCAAAGAAATACAATCAATAACATTACTGCATAAAATTTTTATCTCCTCGGAGCCAAGAATTATGGATATGAATAATTTATTCCACAGAACATAGGCAACCATGAGCATGAGTGCAGTAAACAAAGAAAGGAAGTAAAAAATGCAAAGGAAACAAGTGTGGGAAGGGAAAACAGAAAGAAAGAAGAAAAACTGAACGGCTAAATATAATTGTCCCAAGTCAAATCTGGTTAAATGGGACAGAAACAGCACTGTAAATACTACATGAGGTAACTGAAAGGGTTTTGGCCCAGGCTGGACACTGCAGCCGGTAAAGCCAAGGAGCTCCTATCTCCCCCTCCCTTAGGAATCTACTTCTGGAGCCAAACAAAGACCAGTGGGCAACCTGTGCATCCCTAATGTCCCCTTAGGTTCCACCCAAACCGAGGCTACTTATGTGCCTCACTCCACGTGTTCCATGGAGAGATCACCGACCCCGAGGTGAGATGGCGCGCCCCTAGGGGGGCCGGGGGTGTCTCTCCCCACATTCTCAAAATAAAGGTCATTTATATTTTATACTTCTTATCTTTTCAGCTGCCGCCAATCCTCTCCCCACAGTTCTATCAGTAACTACTGTATGGGATTTTTAAAAAAAATCATACAAGAAGTAGGAATTATTTTTAATATTTAACTAATGCTAAACCTTCTGAAAGGAGTCACCAGGTTTTTAAGTTTTGAAGCTACTAGGCTTATCAAAGTTTACAATATTATGGAAAGCTATAAAGGAGTAGCATACAAAGGAAGAACAATAAAAGAGTACAAATGAAAAGTTGAAAAAAAGAGAAAGCAGAAGCAGAAACAACAAATTAAAACAGAAAGTAAGTAGCAAGGAAAGGTGGCATATTGTCAGTATCTGCCTGAAACGGGTGACTAGCTTCCAGGTACTTAGCACATCTCACAGCAAAGGGCATCCTGACTGGAGACATGATGACCAGGGGGGACCAAAATTAGTAGTAAACACTTCACCCAATTTTCCAGATTATATCTGCCACTTCCACATACCTAAATACTTCGACACACATTCTAGAACCAGGCATTTTGTGAGGCTCTGAATATCCAAAAATTAAAAAATTCATACACTAAAGACTCAGCACTCAGTCTATTGGACTATATTCTTTCACATATAGCTGAAATAACTGTTATTTAATCTGCATCAACAAAGGAGAAATGTGAGAGTGTCAGACATTGGCATGCTATTAGCAACCGTGACAATTAAGAGAAGATGAAAAACTAAAATCTTAAAATCCATAAAAGGCAGTCACGGGTACCAACATGACAGTATGGGGCTGTTGAACACAGGGTGAAGACCATGACTGCAGTCCACAGCAGGCGGCAAAGGACTGCCACGCAAAACAGCCCTGGCATGGCCACACAAAAAGACAGTGTTCCCACCACCTCTCCTGAAGAAGACAGGTGGGTCTGTAACCCACATGCCAGAAAAAAAACTGCCTCAGAAGAAAAGACTTCAGTTATCTCAGAAAGTTGGTTGTCCTAAATAACTCAGTCTTCAGGACTCTGGACAGCCAAACTTTAGTATACACCATATATCTATCCACTTGATGAGCAAACCTAATCATAGATAAAATTTTTTAGATATTCAAAACAAAAAATAATTCTAGATCCTTAAAGTGTTCTAACTTAAAGTACTCTTCAAGCTTCTATTTGTCCCACATTCTGAATTTTTACTGATGAATTTCAAATTTATGGAAAGTTTACTTTTTAATGTTCTTTTATACTTGGGGATTGAACCCAAGGGCTTCACAATTTCGAGATAGGGTCTCACTAAGCTGCTGAGGATGGACTCAGACTTGTGATCCTCTTGCATCAGCTTCCTAGGATGCTAGGATTATATTCTATATCCTAACATCTTTCAAGAAACCCTCACTAATAAACCAGGGAAATAGTACTGTTGCAGGCAGCTGAGTTAGTTAAAAATATTACAGGCAGTGAGACAGGGCTAGGTCCTCAATAGAGCAACTGCAGTAGAAACTGATACCTCCTGCTGTGGGCCAGGCCTTAAGATAAAAGGCCATACAAATGCACCCATATCCTGCAGATTGATACCCTAAATAGTTACCATGCCCCCCTAGGAAGGAGTCACAGCTCTATAAGAATGCCTGCTTTCTACATGACTTGCTTCCCCATTTGTCCCTAAAGTAATCAATTTTACCTAACTATTGATCTTATTGGTTAACTATAGTTATATCCCACCTTGAACCCATGGTTTCACTCTATAAAAGTCCTTGGAAAATACAGAGTCCTTGGCAACTCACTTGGGTCCCTTCTGTCTCTCTCAGACAGAAGCTTACTTTCTGTCAATAAATATATTCCACTCTTATCTCTGTTGTTCCTAAAATTCATTCTTCGATTTTAGAGAACATGAATTTGTGGACACAGTAAATTGAGAGTTTCATTCCCCTATATCAGTACCAAACAGTAAATAACATCACTATTATTTAGTATGGCCTACAGTGACTTCTTAAAATAATTCAATCCTACATGCAATTAAAAAACACAGAATGAGTCATTGGGATTGTATTTTTTAGGACTTTACAATTAACAAGTAAATTTAGGTCATTTGAAAACCATCTACTTTATAACATTCTATACCAATGGCACTGAAATTCTTATTTTCAAGCACTTAAAAGTTTTGAAGTTTATTTTACTTACTTCAGATTTTTCTAATTATTTTCTTATTTTTAAATTGTTGGCATATTTGTAAGAGCTTCAAGTGATAAATAAAGTCTACTCATCAATGAATTGCCAATATTACCACCTAGTGGCCAAAAGCCTGTAAAACTTTCAGAATTAAGATAAGGCTACATTATCAGCTGTTGGAAGTCTTGTAAAAATACCTTCCCATCTGAACAGATTTTATGTTTCTGTGGTTCAGGCACTACCGAAAAGGCCTGTGGAAATTTACTGTTAAGTTTATGACACGATATGTAAACAGACACTTTCAAACTATACTGGGATGACATCACATAATGTGATTTATCTTCCTTTGTTTAATCAAAAGTATAAGCCATCATGTTCTTTTACAATTTCACCAAAAAATAATTCTGATGGACTTTTTCAAAGAGTATGAGCTGTTCTGGTGACTGGCGACTCTGTGAGTCTCAGGACTCACAGGAATGCAAGCATCTGGATGCACCCCAATGGAAGGCTATACAACCTCTGCAAACGAGCTGAATCTGAAAACATGTGGAGTAGCAGTGAGCTTTATCTGCTGGTCACTCTTGGCCTTTGGTGTCCTTGCATTGACACAAGACGAAGGACACCTTCAACTCAGTAACTTGTCAAACATGTTCTTCTGTGGCTTTCCCAGGTTGAGGGAAATGGTTGAACAGCAAAGATAAGGAGACAAAATGCCTTTAGTCATCAGAACAACCTTCTTGAATAACACCAATAATTCTTTAAAATGAGTGCTTACTGTCCATAAAATAGATATCTATGACCAAAACGGAGAAAGAAGGATTGGATTTATCTTCTTTGTTGATATAACCACAAAACCAGAACAATAAAACCAAAAGGGAAACTATGAAAAAAGATTTTCAAGGCACAAGATATAAGAAAATGAAAGGCAGTGATTTCTAATTGCTGAGAAATAAACATGGTAAGCCTTGCCAGTCTCCCAGTTTACTACAACTGAGATTTTTCAGACAATAGTACAAAGAGATGAGGTGGAGTCCTGTAGATTACTAAATTGAGAAGACAGAGTTGAGTTTCAAAGCAGCTAGAATGCATAGAACAAAATATCAGAGAAAAGACAACTAAATAGTGAACACTTGGAACTCTGCCGAGGAGTATTATTACACACACACACACACACACACACACACGCACACAGCATATATGTGCATGCCTGTGACATTTGATCTTATACCAAACAAATAAAAGGTGTTTGGTATCAACAACTAACAGAACTTTGAGGAAAATATCATAATGTTATGACCTTCTTCACAAAAAAACAACAGCGGGAAGGAGAGCGTCCTACCTTGAAGAAGGAATGAATAGCAGCTGTCGCTTCACTGCGAACCCTCAATATAGAACCCAGAACATTTGTCCTACACCTAAGGTGAGGGTACTGTCTCAGGAATTCCAGAGGATGCCTCTCTTTATATTTGATAGGGAATGCCTGCCAATAAATGAAAACAAAACATATTATAAAACCAATTTTCAGAGCATTTAAAAAATATGTTGTAGTGCTTTAGAACAACACTAAGGTGCTTTCCTTATTTTTCAATCTAACAGATTATATTGCTACAGTAACAATTACTTTAAGTAAAACTGTAAATGGGTTGAGATGTAGCTTTGAAGTCAGCTTGTTTATTAGCTAAATTACTTAGTATCAGTGACACTTGTGTTACTTGTCAATTTTCTATACATAAACTGTCAATCACTTCTTATAAATACAGACATTAGCATATAATCATACAAAAATCACTGTTGGCATACAAAAGTTTAGAATATTGTAGATATTAAAGAATATGTTCTCTACCATTGTATATACACAGCTGATGTTCAATTTTAAATCACCCACATGTCTTGAAACCCCTCAATCAAATAACTGGTGTTCATAACTATTTATCAACAGGTTATTGGTGTCTAAAACCATGAGGGACGGTCAACAACTTTCACTTAGCAGAGTGCTGAAGACTTAACAAAAATTTCAAAGGAAATGATTCTAATCTGCAATATTTCTACTCTGTCCACTCTCATGTTACAAGATTATGCATATAGATGATATACTCTTTCAGAAAAAACAAAAGTTCAATTAAAAAATAAATAGGAAGGCTAAAGAGAGCTAAGCTGTCAGCTAGCTTCTTTAAATCTTGTCTCTTCTCCTTAGATCTTAGCATATACCAATTTTTATAGAAACAAGTACCATACTTAACTAACGGGAAAATGAAGTCACATTAATAGAGATCTGTGAATACTAAGGGTCAGAATTCCCAGACTAAATATTTCAAAAGACAGAAGGGAAGGGAAGTAAAAGAGGAAGAAGAGGAAGGGAAGTAAAAGTATCAGCAACACAAGCTAACAGAGACCACTGTAACAACAATGAGATGGTAAATTTTTAATAATCATAGATGCCTCTGAAAAAGTAAATTTTTAATAATCATAGATGCCTCTGAAAAAGTAAATTTTTAATAATCATAGAACCCACTGAAGTAAAAACTAAAGTAAAAGTAAAGTAAAAACTAAAATAATTGCCTTCTCTATTCTTCTCTTGATTTCAAAATTACTTCGGTCCATTTTTCAGAAACCTTACAATTCATACGTTAATTTGAGTTTTTTAGAAAGTTATTTGGAGTGACAATTTTAAAGAACATTGCCTAATTTTCTTTATTTTCTTACACTTAGCATTTCTTAGTCTAAAAGAACTTAAATTGAATTAAAATGATTCAATTTCCTATATTTTCTCATATTTTACTCATCAAATATTAGAAAGCAATTATAGCAAAAGATAGAGATGTCAAAAGGCAGAAATACAAATTTCAGATGTACCACTAATCATTTCAGTGCTTCAGGCACAGCACTTCACCTGGCTGGGCCTCATTCTCTTCATTACTATAAATTTAACGAGCTGGATTGATAATGGTAACCACACACAGCTGCATCTGACCAGCTACTGCCACTCAGGACTTAGATTTCTTATTTTTTTTAACCTGACATACTATCACAGCCAAAGGTGACCACTGCCTCTCTTGGATGATCAGTTCTAGGTCATGCAGGTCATCTCCAGCTTTTTCTAAGAATGTGAAACTGAAATAGCCCATTGTAACATGGCTCTGTCATTTGGCTGACTAAGCATTCTTGAAACCCCAGTGAGATTCAACTCTAACATGTATCGCAGGATACACAGATTAATACTTAGCTTCCAGTGATAAGACTAGGTATTATTACAATCCTACAGCCTATACTGACTATTTCAGTTATCAACAGAAATATGTTCTAAATGCCATGTTCCCAATAACCATTCTTACAACAGATTACCAATGTTGTAAAATAAGTACAAACAGCCTCCACAAAAGAATAAATAAATATACCTTGGCATCACAATTCCCAATAACTTCAATTTTCTCTGCCTTCAGTTCCACATTTTGTTTTTTGGATAGACTTTTTACCAGCTGGCCTTGGACTTCCACAGAACTTCCAAAAGTCAATTCTCTATAGTAACAAAAAACCCAAAATAAGTAAGACATTATTACATATAGATTATATCATTATTACATATAGATATACATTATTACATATATTACATACATTTCTTCATTGAAATACAGATATTGTTATCGAACATTAAATTACTTAATGATGGTATATACCTTCAATTAAGTTAGCTTCATATTTTACAGGAGCTGTACTGTATGCCAAAATTATAAAAGTTAATTTCTTAAGTCTTAAAATGGAAACAAAAAGAGTAAAAATTTGTACACAGCTATTTGTACTTAAGAGGTTATATAATTATCCTTATCAAAAAGTAAATTGTCCAAAATATTGTTTATAAGATTGCAAATTGTATACAAAGACTAATGAAATAAAAATCAGATCTGTACTTTTGTTGATATTACAACAAGCCAATTTCTTGGCTTTGACAACATTCAATAATAATTGGGAAAGCTGGGTGGAAAGTACATGGGAATTCCCATATTATTCTTATTTATTTTTATGTTTTTCTAACTTCACTTGACTTCAAACAGAAATAAACAAAATTTCAAAACACATCAAGCAACAACAATGATACACACACTGTGTATTGCCATCACCAAATCAGTCAACCAGAGCACAAGATATCTGCACCTAACTGAAAATAACTTCTTCAGAGAACTCAGTAGTATAAAAATCTACCATACATATACATATATTGTTTCCTTCAGGTTCTCACACTAGTGAGACAATATGTTCACATACGCATGTCTGATTTATTTCACTTATGATCTTGGTCTCAAGCTGCATCCATTTACCTAGAAAAGTCTCAAGTTTGTCCTTCTTTATGGGTTTGTATTACTCCACTGTATAAAATACCACATTTTTTATCCATTCCTCAATCGATGGGCATTTAGGTTGTTTACAACATCTACCTATCACAAATTGTTTTGCTATGAATGTGGGCACACATATACCACTGTGGTATGACATTTTTAATTCTTCTGGGAAGATACCCAGAAGGGGAATAGCTGAGTTAAACGGAACCTCCAATCACAGTTTCATGAGGAATCTCCCATTGATTTCCAAAGTGGTTACACCAGTCCACACTCCCACCAACAGTGGAGAAAGATTCCTTTTTCCCCACAGCCCCTCCAGCATTTGTTACTGGCTGTTTTTTTGATAACAGCCATTCTCTCTGGGGGGAGGTGAAATTTTAGCATTGTTTTTAACTTGCATCCCTTGAATGACCAGTGATGTTGAACATTTTTTCACATATTTATTTGCTGCTTATATTTCATCTGAGAACTGTATATTTATCTCAGATGTCCATTTTTGGACTGGATTTTTAAATGTGGAGGACTGATTTTTGGGAGGTTATTTATATGTTCTTGATAGTTCTCCTTTGTCTGAGGAACACCTGGCAAACATTTTCTCCCACATTGTGGGTTGTCTCTTCACTCTGTTGATGGTTTCTCTTACTATGCAAAACCTTTTCAATACAAGAGATCCTGGTTGTCTTTTGTAACAGCTTCTGTGCAATCAGGGTTTTATTCATAAAGTCTTTGCCTATACCAATATCTTCAAGAGTTTTACCTACTCTTCCAGCAGATTTAATGCTTTTTTTAATATTTAGATCTTTGATCCAATCTGAATTTAGTTTAGTGCATGATAAAAGATATGGTCCAACTTTTAATCTTCAGCATGTGTAGAGCCAGTGTCCCATAGTTCCAGCACCATTTATTAAAGAGGCTATCTTTCTTCCAATGAATGTGTTTGGCCCCTTTGTCAAACATAAGATGGGTTTAGTGTGTCTGGAGTTGTTTCTGCATCTTCTAATCTGTTCCACTGATCTTGGGTCTGTTTTTCTGCCAGTACCATACTGTTTTTATCACAGTAGCTTTATATTATAATTTCAAGCAGGAATTGTGATGTCCTGTCTTGTCTTTGTTGCCTAGGATTCCATTTGCTACTCTAGGTCTCTTCTGGCTCCAGATGAATTTTAGGATTTTCTCTAATTCTATGAGATACACTATTGGAATTTTGATTGGGATTGCACTGAATCTGTATAATAGCTTTGAGAGTATGGCCATTTTCACTATGTTGGTTCTTCCTACCCAAGAGCACAGGATGTCTCTCCATTTCTAATATCCTCTTCAATCTCCTTTTACAGAGTACTGCAGTTTTCAAGGTAGAGGTCTTTTACATCCTTTGTTAGATTGACTCCTAAGTATTTCATTTTTCTGGATGCTATTGTGAAAGGTGTTGTTATTAGTGTATTGGAAGGCTATTAATTTTTGTGTTGACTTTGTATCGTTATGCTACTGAATTTGCTTATTAAATCTACTAGTGTTTTAATGGAGTTGTTAGGGTCTTCAATATAGAATATCATTTCACCTGTAAATGATCTTTATTTCTTTTATTTTCTATCTTTATTTTCCTATCTTTATTTCTTCCCCCTGTCTAATTGCTTCAACCAAAGTTTCCAGGACCATGCTGAATAAGAGTAAAGACAGTCGACATCCTTCTCTTGTTCCTAATTTTAAAGACAGTTTTGAGTTTGTCCCTTTAGTATGATGTTGGCTGTTGGTCTGTCACACATGGCTTTTATCAGATTGAGATAAAGACCATTATTCCATTTTTCTGTAATTTTTATCATGAATAGGTGCTGGACTTTGTCAAAAGCTTTTTCTGCATCTATTGAGATGACCATATGATTTTTGTCTTTGGCTCTGTTAATATTGTATACCACATTTATTGTCTTATGTATGCTGAACCACCTCTGCATCCCTGGGATGAATCTCACTTGATCATGGCATATAATGTTCTTGATAATCTGCTGCATTGTTTGCCAGTATTCTACTGAGGATTTGTGCAATTATGTTCATTAGAGAAATTGGCTTGTAATTCACTTTCTTAGTTGGGTTCATCTTTAGTTTTGGTATCAGAGTAATACTGAATCTGAGACTATGACTTCCCTTTCAATTTCATTATAGAATTTGAGAAGTAGTGATGTTAGGTCTTCTCTAAATTTCTTGTAGAATTCAGCTATGAATCTGTCAGGGCCTGGGCTTTTCTCTGTTGATAGGTTTTTAGTTAAATCTGCAATCTCACTGATACTAGGTTATTCAGGATTTTTATATCTTGATTCAACTTTGGTAATTCTTTCATATCTAAGAATCTGTCCATTTCTTCTGAATTTTCCATCTTGTTAGAATACAAGTTTTCAAAGTAGGCACAGATGATCTTTGGAATTTCTGCAGGATCTATTTTGATTTCAACCTTTTCATTCCTCATTGCATTGAGTCTTTATATTGATAAGGCTGTCAGAGGGCTTGTCAATTTTAGTTAAATTTTCATGAACCAACTCTTTGATTCATTGATTCTTTATAATTTTTTTTCAGTCTCCAATGTATTTTCTGTTCTGATCTTTATAATTTCCTTCCTTGTGCAGCTTTTGGCTTAGCTTACTCTTTTTTTTTTTCTAGAAGTTTGAGGTTCACTCTTAAGTTGTTTAAATGTGCTTGCTCTGTTTTCCTGACATGGGTATTTACTGCTATAAATTGCCCTCTTAAGACTGCTTTCATTGTGTCCCATAGTTCCAGTATGTTGTATTGTCATTATCATTCAACTGTAAACATTGTCTAATTTCTTTTTTTTTTTTCTTTTTTTTTTTAATTTTATTTAAGGAGAAAACAAAAAAAAAGCAAGGAAAGGGTACACGTTATACAGATTTACAGAAAAAAAATGAACAGTAGGAAATCACTAGTTAATGGATTACATATTGTCATCTTAGAAATAATTGTTCAAGTCACAAAATTAAAGCTTGTAAAGTGGACATTCCATCAATGCTACTGCAAACAGTTCTGTTCATTGATCCAATAAAACTCTGTGATATCATTTTCTATCTTATACACTTAAATATACATGCAGTTATATAGTTTGGAGCACTTTCTTTTCCTCTCTTTTGTACCATGACTATTACACATTTTGGGTTTCATTGCTCCCACGGTTCTTATTACTTTTTTGGAAGAGAGTAAAACCAAATGTGACATAACAGAACAGAATTGGTCAAGTCAAAAGGATGGACATAATAGATAATGTAAAAACATAATACAAGGTGATCAACAATGGTTACCATAATGCCTCCCGCTATCTCTAATAGAATTGCCTATATCGTTAGTTATAATACAATTGAACAAAACAGTAAAGAATAAAACCGACAAAACCAAAACATTGGAGACATTGTAGGTCTTCAAAAGTAGATAAAAATCAACAACAATGGGCGTCATAATGAATCTCATTATCTTCACAGCTGATGCCTAAACTTTCGAACCTGATACTATCCAGCAAAACAGAATAGGGGAACATCAGTTAAAAACCAGATGGTGAGAGTAATACAGGGCTTTAAATCAAGGTAATGAAAAGTCAAAGTGGGTTACTATAATATATCCTGCTATTTTTTTCCTTTAATTAAAAGGATAAAGATAAAAAAGTAAATAATGGAGTGGAGATTGAGATAAAAGAGGGCATAACAATGAAACAGCGCAGATCAAAACATAACCATTTAAGCAGAATAGTGTTTCACCACCAGATAATCCTAACCTAAAAGTAGTTACCATATTGTCTCTTTCTTTGAAATCCTTGAGTACAACTTCGTATACTGTAGCATTAAGTATATCAAAACAATGTAAAACCATTCAAGAGAATGACAGCATTACAGAGTATTTAGAATCGACTAACAAAAAATGAATAATGGTTTCTGTATAATCTCCTTGTCTTTACAAGGTTTTTGCTTATACTATCGTACATAATAAAATCCAGTAAGATACAACCTATTTAGACCATTGGAGACAGAAGGACAAAAGCTAGATGAGACTTCAAAACAAGATGATACTAAATCAGTATTACCTATTAAGATGTCATTTTCTCCAAAATAGCTGTTCCTATCATCCAATCTTCTCTGCCTCATTTCTGTTGAGCTCTTTTTCTGTCAGTAGCTGTCAGTTCGTCTTCTTCAT